TCTGTTGCCAATCTTCACTCCTCTGCCTGGGTCTTCGCCGAGGGGGACAAGTTTGAATTCCCCGTCTAGAATTGGTCGAAGGGGGACTTACTCTCCGCTGGTAGGTTCATCCTGGTCGAAACGGGTGTCCAGGGATATTGAGTCAACCTCTGGAGGGGCTCTCTCCTCTTCCGCTTTGACGATCTCTGACCTTCGAGGTTCTGGTCGTGTTGTTGCAGCTCTTTTGGCGGGCCTTATGCTGGTGTCGAACGTATCGCGTCCCTTGGAAGCCGCATTAAAACACCTTTGGCCAGCTGCTAGGTCCCCTTGGATGGTGGCGACACGTGCCCTCTTTGTGTAAAACTTCATTTTTAGATGAACGGTGGAGGGTACTGCGGTCAGCTCCGCCAGTGTCGGCCTTCCCAGAATGCAGTTGTAGAGGGAAGGGAAATCAATGACGAGGAAGCGCACCTTGACTTGTCTCGTTGTCGTATCCTCGCTGAATGTGACCATGAGCTCGACGTATCCCCAAGGCTTGAAAGTTGAGCCGTTAAAGCCCTGCAGGTCCGACCCCACGTAATGCAAGAGGTGAGAGTCGTCGAGCTGCAGGGTTCGGAACAGTTGGTTGTACATTACATCGACGGAGCTTCCTTCATCGACGAGGACGTGATGTACGTCGAAGTTAGCCATCCTCGCTCTTATCAGCAGGGGGATGACCGAATTGGGGGCCCCTCCGGGGAGCTCCTCGAGATAGAAAGTGATTGGCTCCGACCTGCCCCTCACTTTCTTAAAGGTCACCGTTTGAGGGGGGGCCGTGTCGACCAATTCTTCCAGCTTCCTCTTAGTTGAATTTATGGTCAGATCGTTGAACCCTCCACCATTGATGACCATGGCAGAGGGGAAGTGTTCCCACCTATTGTGCGTCGACAGCGGCTCTTGTATGTGATCGGGGACGTAGAAGTCCTCGGGTCTTGTGACGGAGAATGCAGTTTGGATGGGAACCGATTCGTCAGATGGTCGGGCATCCTCTTCTGCTTCCCTCGTCTCGCGGGTGTTGCGACGAGGAGCGTTGTTTCGCCGGTACTGCGCGATTCTCCCCCCTTTTATGAGGGTCTCGATGGCGTCCTTGAGGTAGACGCAGTCTTCGGTCAAATGCCCGTGGCTCTGGTGATACTGACGGTATTTGCTCCGGTCCACCCCGGGCTTGGCAGGCGCTGGTCGGGGACGCTTGACGCCACCATCTTTAAAGTCAGTACTCGTACACTCCGCTAAGATGCGCTCGCAGGAAGCCGTGAGCGGAGTGTATTCTGTGAACTGTCCCGAGGGCCCTCTCTGCTCCCGGGCGTCCCGGGGTTTATCGTCCTTTCTTTTTTCCCTGGTTCGTCGAGGAGGAGCAGTATCGTGTCGCGGATTGCTGCTGGATCCGTGATTCCTGGGGTCTCGGGCTCTATTGGCCGCTTCTCTCTCCTCGTAGTCCATGTAGGCTCTGGCCTTCTCGAGGAGGGCGTCGAACGTTCGATGTGGTTCGACGCCCACGACTTTCCTGAATTCGGTACCGAGGAGGAGCCCCTCTCCAGCAGGTATCTCTTTATATGGTCCGTGCAAGGGACCTGGATGGCTTCCCGATTGAAGCGGTTGATGAATTCCCTCAAGGTCTCATCGTGCTTCTGGACGATGGCCTCGAGTGCCGTTTCGGTCTTCGGATGTCGCCGCGATGCAGTGAACGAGCTGATGAATTGTTTTTTCAAGTTTCTCCACGAGGTAATTGACCTCGGGGCGAGACCCTTGTACTAGTCCATGGCTTCTTTTCTCAGAGTCGTGGAGAACAACCGACATTTAATTGGTCCCCAACATTGTGGTAGTGCAACATGGCCTTGAACCCATCTATGTGGTTGACCGGGTCGATGACACTGTCAAATTCTTTTAAGTGGGGAGGCTTCTCCATGCCTGGGGGAATGGGCGCCTCCATGATAGCTTGTGACAAGGGACTGCGGGGGTCGTCCTCGTCACTCCGTTCCGGGGAGCGGGACGGGGATCTGATGTATTATCAGTCACGATGGCCCTGGTCGTGCGGGACGTTCCTCGAGCAATGTGACTGTTGATAGATTCCTCCGCGTCTATCCCTGGGAGGTCTTAGTTCTTGCCGTGAGGGACTGTGGTCGAGCCTTTCTGTTTGATGATTGGTTCCCTCTCCAAGCGGGGTCGCCGCCCGACTGGTCGGGGCGACAGGCTTCGAGAGAAGTCCCGATCTTGTCTCCGTGGAGGAGATCGGGTACGTTCCTCCGTTCTTCGAGGAGGAGGGGATTGAGACCTCCTGTGTCTTCTAGGGGGCCTCCGGTCGTCTTCAAGTGCTCGCAATCTTTCCCCCTGGGCAAAGATGAGATAGTTCGTCTGGTTAAAGGCCGCGAACAGTGCCCTGGTCGTGGCGTCTACCTCGGCGGGGACAGGGACCTCGTGGAATTGGACGGTTGGATCCTGTTCAGGCCTAGGAGGGACTGATGAAGATGAAGTCGTGGCTCCGTCCCGGTAGTTAGAGGGCCCGGGGACGATGCCTCCGGGGAGTATGTTATGGCCGGTGATGCCAGCACTGTCGGGGCCGCCATTTTTGTCGGTGATGTTGTTGTTAGCTTCAACAACGCGGATGTTCTGGTTGTCCTGAGTCTGGTCATCCATGACAGTCGAGGATGGTTTTAGCTTTGGTCTTTTTAAGTGAATAAGACGGGGAAGCTTAGTTTCTCACAGACGGCGCCACTAATCGTACCTGATCAAAATTGGACCGTCACAGCTGGCTTCGAATTGAATTTGAAAGAGATGGGGGGTACCTGCAAGACACTCTGATGACAAAGTGAGAGACGGAATAAGCAGGCAAGCAAGTATATTGGTGTGTATGAAATGATTACCTGATCCTCTTGAAATATAGGATATTTATAGCCCCCAGCGCTGGGTCAAGGTCCCTTTACTAGGCTGACCAAACAGGCCCAACAAAGGGACTGCCAGGTTCTACATGGAGTAGTGGGGACCTGCATGTGGTTCCCTACCTGGATAATGCTCTTCGCAGAATAGGGAGGGTGAAGACGCGATCTTCCCGGAACCCTGAGGACTCCGAGATATTCGGAGAGGTTGAGAGTCTGCCCTATGAGGAGGGTGCTCGAGCAGGGCTTGGATTAGGATGTTCCTCGTATGGGATGTCCCTCGTCGGGGACACTCTTCGCGGTCACCGGCGAGCACAGTCTAATTCGACCAGTCACCCATGATCGGGGCGTGCTGGGGAGTCTAATGCTCAACATGGTATATTGTAAAGCTTGGATTGGGCCTCGCTGGTGATTGGGCCACGGGCAGACCCAGTCCAGAACAGAAACAAAGCAAATTACGATACAATTCTCAATACTCTTGTTCCTTATCTTAATGGTCCGACTCCGTTTGACAAATGAACGCACTTTCCGGAAATGTGATATCTTATAGCAAGTGCTTATGATAGGATGTGTATTGATTTAACATGATATGGTTTCTTAGAAACATTACTTCCACTTCAGTGTAAGTCACCTCATAATTCATCCAAACACATCATGTGTATTGGTTGATTATAAAAAAAAACATTTTGTTCAGGTTTATTTGAAATTGGGATGTCCTATACCAAAGACATCACCGGAGTGGACGACACATTTCACACAAGATGCTGAAACATTGTCGAATCACTTTCTTGAGAGGATGAAAGAGTTCATCAAGTTGAGCGACATTAAACGAGAAGCAAATAAGAAAAAGTCGAAGATTAAGCCACCAATAAATTTAAGTAATGACTCAAGTTTTGAAGCGTTTTAGTTGTAATCTAATAATGTAACATGTTTTTTTGTAAGTAACTCACCGCATCATGTTATAAAGTTGGGTGGTATTTTGTGGATAACTTTTGTTTTTGAAATTCTATTCTACATAATTATGGTTTTGCTTTCTGCATAACTTTTAGATAAATCCGGAAATACATCTCCGAATACCCCCTTTATTTATTATGAAAAGCAGACGATCATGACATAGAATGCATGGAATTCTTGTAAGTATGGCATAAGGTAACATGGATGATAGTCATAAATATGTGTAACATTCATCATATGTATGAATATTAATCAAGCAAACATGATAAGCTATTTATAGAAGCATGACAATGTAAGAAAGTAACTTCAACAGATAAAAATGAAATGAAGTTCACAAACACTTTTTCATTAAGATGGAACTATCCGTGGAGCCTTTTTCCACAGGTTTGCTGTTTGTCAATGTGAATTTCACCTCCATGTTGGAACAGATAGAAAATAAATGTCAATTAAGGTTAAAATTAAGAATAAAATAATATCATTAATTATTTTGGTGTAGTTGAGAATTTTCAGATATTTATCTGCTACATGTTGGAACAGATAATTAAGTCAGCGAACCAAATTGGTATTTTTGCAGATTGTCTTGCTCTCTTCTACTACTTTTTGATTTTTTTTTCGGGTTGTTGATGAATAGCTTTTCTTTTATAAGTTCCCTTTCTTGTTCACAATAGAATTACATACAAATGGTGGACACTTTCTAGTACTAATAATAGTTATTATTTCTTTTATAGCAAATAATATCTAACCTTGTTGCAAAGAATTTAAAATAAATTAAAAAACATCGTAACAAAGGAACCACATGTAGCAGCAGTGCAGTCTGCTATAGGCTTTTCGTTTCATAAACTGTGGATGGAGATTGTTATAAATATTACAGATTATAGACTTTTTCAGAGTAAAAAATGAGTAAAGTGCGAACACCTTCGAAGGTATTTTCAATTTGTTAGAGTTATAGATAGATAGACAGACATTCAATCTCAACCAAAGCTAGCAGCCAGATACAGGTAAATCAGGGAACCACAATGATAGGTAGTGCAAAGAGACCAACCCAACATGCCGTAATTAAGAAATCCAAATCCCTTTTTGATTGAAAGTTTAATGAACTGTGTCGAGGATTTTGACAAAAAAATTAAAAAGGAAACCGATACAAAGTTTCATGTATCATGAATTATCTTTTCCAGCTGCATGTTTGCACGGTATCTGTTCGTTTGGATTCTTTAGCTCATCACCGGCCACCAAAAAGTAAGCAGTGTGCCTAAAAAACAAGAATATTACGGATTTTAAATTTTATCATGAGTCAATCATTTAGCAGAAAGTTTCATTTTAAGTTAGAAAATAAACCTGAAGAAGTTCATCATTTTGATCTTTGAGTCATCATCTATATCTGGAGTAGTGTCCAATGCTTGTTGCATGTGATGTAACCACCTCTCCGCAGCTTGATGAGTGACAGGAAATGGTCGATGTCGACCAATTAGAGCAGGATGTCCTGCCATGTATCAAGAAAGAACCAAGGTTCCATGTTCAAAATTCAATAACTGAGTTGATGAATAGAAGTAGTAGATTCCAACCAGGATGAGACTAACACAACCTTTTGCACATATCTAATTCTCATGATCATTTTTCCTTTTATGTATAACATTCAGTTTCTACTTATTTGAATTTTGAAAATCTGCTTTCGACTGGAGGAAAAAAAAATTCAACCATCCCTTTAAAACGGAAGGACAAAGAACATAAGTGCTTAATTGATGGAATTGCAAATGATTATTACAGAAACTTCTTCTCAATCAAGTAAATAATTCTATCAGTATATCAGTTAACAGGCTGCTAGAACTCACATAGTGTAAGCATTTTGGTTACTAATTTTTCTCTCCAGTAATGGGACATGAAACCATGTTTCGATTAACTTACAGAAGCTTCTCAATTAAGATAAACTAACATGTCTTTACTAACAAAAAAAAAAGTTCTTATGAGTTATGACAGTTCATATAAAAGTTAAATGAGAGTTTTTTCAACACAAGAACCATTCCAATCAATATCAAATTTAACTTGAGTATTTTTTAAAACATGTTTCCCGTAGTGATTCATGTTTTTTGCAGCAGTTTGATTCTTTTAGTTAAGTATTTGTGTAGAAGGTTATCCAAACTCACCTCCTAAAAAGAAAATAACATTTTATCAGTCGAGAACCCACAGCAGTTTGATGGGGTATCCACTATTAATTATAGTTAGGGTCATGCTATCGAGCACTCTTGGCAAATACTAGTGTGGACAAGTCTCATGTAATATAATGTGGACCAATGCTTGAAAATAACTCAAAATGGTACACACCAAGTTTTAAAAAACAGTCCGTAACCACGAAAATAGCCGCGACAAAACAGTTTCAGAAAGTGCTGATACAGATTCTGTTATTTAGTGTTTTTGTGATAAAGAACAAATTGTAATTAATTCACACCACGGCAATAGCAATTAGCGTCACAACACTTGCACCAACCAAATTCGTGAAAGACTTTTGCGATTGCAGTCATTGCAACACATGTGCCGACTGAAATCGCAAAAGTCTTTACGCGATTGCGGTTGTCGCAACACCTATACCAACAAAAACGCAAAAGTCTTTATGCAATTGCGGTCGTCGCAACACCTGTACCGGCCAAAATCGCGAAAGTCTCTACGCGATTGCGGTCATTGAAACATCTGTACCAACCGAAATTGCAAAATTTACGTGACCACGACCATGGACGTTATTTAAAACCTTGGTAGACACTAGAATCCAATCTAGTCCTCAAAACTATACTAATGATTTAATGTAATATAAATTTTTACAATTTCATGATCATTTCAAAATTTCTTAATTTAAATATAACCAAAATGAACAATTATGCAATTTCCAAGAGTATATTAGTGATTCACTTCTCCACTATGTAGTCCGACACCTCTTAAAAAAACATGTATGTGTCCGTGTCAATGTCAGTATGAGACGAACTTGTATGTCTGTGTCCGTGTCAATGTTAGTATGAGACAAACTTGTGATTACGCCAATTTTTGCAAAAGAAATAAATACCTCTTCTTTGAGAGAACAGAGGAGGACCTCCCATTCTTTGCACAAAGAATTCATACTGATTCTGAATAGCTTCATCTTTCTTAGAATTAGCAAAAATGGAACGAAACCATTCTTGTTCATCATCATAAACCCTTCCAAAAACATATATAAAAAAATGAACAATTCTTTTCGCAGTTATTACTATCATACATTGAAAAAATATAATAATCGTAGAAAATTGAAACCTGTTGTAGAAATTGGTGGAGAGGTTGATGAAGGTTTGAAGGCCGAGTTTCTGGAAGAGATTGGTTTCGTCGATGGAGAAAGCTTCGTTCGTTGGAACTCCGCTCCATTCAGAAGCTTTCTGTTGTAGAGTTTGCATGTTGAAACGACGAGAGTTTTGAATAAAACGGCGATGGAGTTTGGAGTGGGGAGAGAGAGGGGTGAGTGGGATTTATAAAGCTCTTGGTGTTCGCGTGGATTGCACGGGATTACTTTCTTTCTCGATTTGATTCTTTTTGTTGAAAATTGTTTTGATTTGGAATGAAACAAAACTGTGGGTGGGTTATGGTTTCATTTATCAATGAGGTAATAGTGTCTATACATTTTTTACATATTTCTCACCTATTTTAGGGTATTCTAACTTATTCCTTAAAAAATAAAAAGTGTACTGTAACTTTTTGTTTTTGAAAAAAAGAAGCCAAATTTGCATTAAAACATGACGGCACCAGGAGTGCTACACCAGTACAAATACAATGGAGGGAGAAAAACTCTGCAACACCCGAATTTCCAGTCCAAACTGAAACAGACAGCACGCAGAAAAAAATAATAAGAGGTCATAAACCATACAGGTAAAAAACCAGCTACAAGACCTCCTCTTCACTAGGAAAGAAACATCCACCAAACAAACGAGAACAAAACGATTAACACCGCATACTTGCGACTATCAGGACTCCACCCATACTGACAAGTCGCGTTAAGGAACCTCGTCCAATATGTCGAGATAAATTTTGGGTTAATTTCTCCAATCATATCAATGCCCCACATTCCAAACGGCCAAGGAGCAGTCAAGACATTCAGAGGAATTGGAAGCACATGTATTTTGTCAACATAAATCTGACATTTGTGACAAATTCTAGAATGATGGTGACAATCGGTTTCCATAGTCGACCAATAATAATCTGCTCTCAGATTTTTTTTAGTCATCGTATGCCCGCTGGATTGAGTACCAAAGACTCCTTCGTGCATATCTTCCATAATCTTCTTAGCTTCTTTCTTATCTACACAACAAAGCAAAATCGAATCGTGATTGCGCTTGTATAAGATTCCGTTAATCAGAAAGAACTTGACAGAGAACCCCCTTAGAAATTTCTTATCATTGATAGATGCTCCTTCATGATACTCTTGAGTCTCGAGATATCTTTTTACTTTGTGGTACCAAGGCTTTTCCTCTACTCCATCAGTATCAACTTCATAGTAATGTGCCGGCTCAACTAGTCTCTCAATAGTAATTCGAGGAGTTTCATTGTCCCGTCTGACTCTGAACATAGATGACATCGTAGTCAATGCGTCTGTCAATTGATTCTCTTCTCGTGGAATGTGTTCAAAAGTGATTTCTTCGAAGTATAAAATTAATGTCAACATATGCTCTCGATAACGAATGAGATTTAGATGCTTTGTATCCCATTCTCCTTTAATCTGACTGATCACTAGGGCTGAGTCCTCATATGCATTCAAAAATTTAATTCTCATATCGATAGCAGTCTTGGTACCCATGATGCACGCTTCATATTCGGCCATGTTGTTGGTACAGTCAAAATATAATCTGGCGGTGAAGGGCATATGACAATCCTTGGGAGAGACAATCACAGTACCAATCCTGTTTCCAAGCGCGTTGGAAGCTCCATCAAAAACCATAGTCTATCGGAATTCTGGTACAGGTTCTTCATACGGTCCAGGTTCTTCATAGTCGGTAATCCGTATAATATTCTCATTCGAAAACTTGATGAGCAAATGATCTTCCAATACACTTCTTTTGATTGCTTTCTGAGTAGTGTACTGAATTTCGCATTCTGTCAAGACCATTTGCCACCTTGTTATTCTTCCGGAGAGAGCGGGTTTCTCGGATATGTATTTTATCAGATCCATCTTAGAGATCAACAGGATAGTATGAGTCAACATATATTGTCTTAGTCGACGAGCAGCCCATGGAAAAACGCATCAAGTTTTCTCCAACAGTGAGTATCATGTTTCACAGTTGGTAAACTTTTTGCTAAGGTAGTATATTGCATGCTCTTTTCGACCAGACTCGTCATGCTGCCCCAGTACACACCTCATTGAGTTCTCTAACACTGTTAAGTACATGATCAAGGGTCTTCCTTCATCTGGTGGTATCAGAATCAGAGGTTCTTAGAGGTACTCTTGATTTTGTCAAAAGCTTTCTGACAGTCGTCGTTCTATTTCACTATTTGCTCTTTCTTCAGTAACTTGAAGATTGGCTCACAAGTAGCGGTCAAATGGGAAATAAATCTGACAATGTAGTTCAATCATCTCAGGAAACCTCTGACTTCCTTCTCAGTACGGGGAGCTAGAATTTCTTGAATGACTTTAACCTTGGCGGGGTCAACTTTAATAAATTTACTACTGACGACAAAACATAGGATTTTATTGGATCTTACCCCAAAGGTGCACTTGTTTGGATTCAATATCAACTTGTACTTCTTCAATCTCTCAAACATCTTGTGTAGGTGATCAAGATGTTTTTCTTCAGTTTGAGACCTGGCTATCATGTCATCAACGTAAACATCTATCTCATGATGGATCATGTCATGGAACAAAGCATAACTTAGTAACAGAAAGTGCCCCACTATGTGAGAAAGGTAGTCTTCTCCATATCTTCAGGTGTCATCTTGATTCGATTATAACTAGATAAACCATCCATGAAGGAAAATACTTTATGTTGAGTGGTGTTGTCAACCAGAACATCAATATGTGGAAGCAGAAAGTCATCTTCGGGGCTCTCCCTATTCAGATCCCTATAGTCTACACACATACACACTTTGCCATCCTTCTTAGGTACTGAAACCACGTTTTCAATCCACTAAGGATAAGACGTAACAGATAAGAAACTGACATTGAACTGTTTTATAACCTCGACTTTGATCTTTTCAGACATCTCGGGACGCATACGACGAACCTTCTAATTTACTGGAGAACAACCTTCTTTCATTGGTAGACGGTGAACCACAATATCAGTATCAAGCCCTGGCATGTCTTTGTATAACTAAGCAAAAATCTCAATGTAATCACACAACATCTGGATTAATCTGTTTTTGACACTGTCTTCTAGGTTGGCACCTATCTTGACCTCTTTCTTGTCCTCTTCAGTACCCAGATTCACAATCTCGACTGGCTCTTCATGCAGTTATATGGCTCTTCCTTCTTTCTCTAACAGTCTAGCAAGTTCTCCAGGTACTTCATTATCTTTCTAACCTTCGTCCTCGGCTTGGTATATTTGATTTTCAAATTTATGATTGGTAATAGCAGAATTGTTAGCAATGGGATCCAGGGTGGATATGGATCTACAATTTATGGTGTGGATGTGTGTAAGAACACATAGCTATTTGGAAAATAATAAAGTAAAAGAAATACAAAGAGCGCAAAATTTGAATGCAAACGTCCAATGATTTATTCAATGAAAATATGTGAATGAAAAATGACAACCCTAACAAGTGGGTCGTTGTACCCCGGGTAAAGCACAATGCTTAAAGTTATTGTTTTAAGATTACATAACCAAAACTTGAAAGCAGGAAAACAAAAAATAGCATTTACTCCTGACTATAGGAGATTGGTATAACATCTTCAGTCTTCTAATTGCTGAGTCCATTACCGGTGGTAGGAAAAATCCAAATGTCTAGGTCATAGTCGCTATTAGCATCTTCTACCGCGTTAACTTCGTTGTTGTTGATGCGTAATGATGGTCTCCCCACACGAGCACGACGAACAGCCCTCTGAGCCTCTGAAGTTAAACACAAACCACATTTATCAGACTTGTAGGGAATGTAGGGAAGCTGACCCCAATTAGTGCAACCACCTTCTTCTACCACAACTCTAGCGTCTTTCAGAGAAGTCATTCTGGGTGGAACCCTGGTAATCTTAGGAATGGAAGAAACGTCTTTAGTAACGGTAGTTGTTCGAGGAATAACTTCAAAGGTCTAGCAGGGAGTCTCGATGAATTCGCCGTCCATCTCAACATACTTAAAGGAGTTCAAGTGACTCACCATGTACTCTTCTTCACCATAAATTATAACAATCTTTCCTTTCGCGTGATATTTCAACTTTTGGTGCAACCTAGAAGTAACAGCGCCTTCCCCATGAATCCAAGGGCGTCTGAGTAAACACGAATAAGCCGAGCGAACGTCCATCACATATAAGGTAGAGCCGAAGACCTACGAAACTACTTGGATCGGGAGATCCACCTCTCCATGCACCATCCTCTTTGAACCATCAAAGGCTCTGACCACAATGTCACTGAGCTTCAGCACAACCTCTTCACAGTCAAGCTTGTCTAAATCACCCTTCGGTAAAACATTCTACGAGGAACCCGTGTCAACCAACACATGAGCTAAGGTAGTGCTCCCACACTCAATAGAGACATGTATGACCTTGTTATAGCTTCTTCCTTCGGAGTCAAATTAGCATCAGAAAATCCTAGCCCATTATCAGTCGTCAGGATAACAACATAATTTTCGAATTGGTCAGCAGAAATTTCCTGCGGTATGTGAGCGGATTTTGAGAACTTCACCAAAGCCTGAGCATGGGCTTCAGAGCACAACAACAGAGATAACATGGATATCTTGGAGAGAGTCTTCCCCAATTGTTCAATAATCGTATAGTCACTTTTTTGGATGATCTTTAGTACTTCCTTCATCTCTTGCTTGGAGGTATCTTCAGTGGTAATTTCTTTAGGTGTCTCAGTCTGGGCAGACTCAGTCATCTGTTCTCTACCTCGAGTCTCAATAGTTAACTCAATAGCAGTAACACGAACTAGTGTAGCAACAGTCTTCAGAGAGATTTCTGGAGAGAAAACCCTTCCACTTCTGGTAACCTTACTGGTCCCAAAAATATTGTCAACATTGGGATCGGTAACTTCAGTATCTTCCATTTTGACAACCAATGGTTCCTGCTTGACACCATGGTAGTATACATCAGCTCCATAATTCCAGGGGATAGCCTTGTCAAAGGAATATAGAATTGGCCCCGGTGTGATAATGATCAAATAAGAAACTATAGGTTCGACCGTAATCTTCACAAGGCCTTTGTAAGTAATCCTTACAGGTATTCTGGAAATTACAGACATGTCTTCAAGCTCCAAGTCTTGAA